TTCTTTTAATTAATACAGAAATTAATTTAATTATATACAGAAATTATATATGAATACTGCAAATCAGAAGAAATTAAAGCAAAATAATAAAAGATTTTTATTAAAACACGCGCGCGAATAATTATATCTTAATATTAATTTGTATGTTATGATTTAAATTAACGAATAATTATATCTTAATATTAATTTATATGTTATAATTTAAATTAACGTTTATATTAAAATTTAATAAACTAATTATATCTTTTTATTTTTTTACAAAAGCAATATGGAATTTATGTGTTGAAAATGTAAATACCTTAACTTCTCACAAGATATTTTCTTCTTGATACCAGTCGTATATTCCACACCCAATCATACGTCACGGAAGACTGAGAAGAAAAGATTCGAGGACGATGTCGTAGACCTCTCTAGGTCACTTTCTCCCCACCTTAGAAGTGAAGTCACTTTCTTCGACAAGTATACCTCAGATGGGATTTGATAAATTATGATTATAATAACTGATTATAATAACAGTTACTAGATAACAAAGAAATATATAAATTTTATAGCAAATTTTATAGCATGAGAATATTGATAAAGAATATAAGAATATTTTGTCATATTTATCTTAACATTTCTTTAATAATAGAGATGGTAATAAATATAAAATTTTTGTAATAATAGATTAATCATTAATATTTGTGTAAGCCTTTCAGACTTTCATAATTTTTTGCACTTTTCATATCTAATAATTATAGAATGATTATATATAAAAATTTTTTATATAAAATTATTTCTCTTGATTATTGCAGAAATTGATTCTTATGTTAGAAATAATTGATTCTTATGTTAGAAAGAGAATAATTAAAGGATGTTTACAGCAAAGAAAGAAAATGTGAAAGACAAGTCTAAATAGAAATTGTATTTTAAAAAAATATATTTTTGTGGCATTTTTATCCTGAAAAAATATATTGTTCTTCAGCAATTTGCCTAATGTTATATTTTGTTATTTTTAACGAAAATTGCTTTTTTTCCATGAATTTTAATTCCGCAAATGTTCGTTCATTTATTCGTTGTGTAATTACTTGCCAAGATCAACCTACTGACACGGTTTCTTCGGTACATTCGAATATCGGTGATTTCAACAAAGTGCAAACACGGAAACTTCATTTACCTCTTAATGACAGAAGCATATGACCAGCTATTATACTTTCTCGCATTATACTTTCTGATAACATGATCATATAACTTGTAATTTATGTTTATTTGCATTAAACTTTCATCTTTGTGGCGTGTATATTAAGCTTGAATGTTTTCGTGAATATAATTTTATCAAAATAAAATATTAGCGGTTTAGAAATTTGTAATAAAATTTAAAATAAGCATTAGAATAATGTTTTACGTGCAAAAGTCAAATTATCGATAATTATTGATTTTATTAACAAAGAAATTAAAAGTTGCTGAAACTATACAATCGTAATATTTCTTGTACATTAGTAATATAATTATAAAAAATATTTTATTATTTTTTTCTTTTTACGTGTTAATAATTTACAGGTTCCTCAAACTTAGATTTACAGGAATATCAGACTTATCATATTTCAATTTTTTTTTCTTTCTGTTTTAACATTAAAATTTTTTTATACCGTATATAACTTTTTTCTATTTTGTTCAATTTCTAGCTATTTTTAATGATTACTTTATAAAATATTAGAGATCGATGTCACATTACGCAAATAATGAACGTAATCTATGCAGGATAATGCGAATTGACACTATGCTGCACAGATAGCACAGATACTCTGTGGACCGAATACGCAAATAAGGTCGCGTTGCGATGCTTCGAAGTTCATTCAAAGAATTTCGACATCAACGAGATTTTATTTAACTGGTCAAACAGCGCTTATAACAGTTTTCCCATCGTTATTCGTCCCATTTACAAAATAATGGATCGTTAGAAGTATACAGTGAGATTGAGCCTCTCGTTGCCAATTTGATTGTCTCCGGTTCGCGTTTCTGCTGCGACCTCGACACTATCCACAGTCTGAAAAATGATAAATATTTCTGTTTCTATTGTGTTCTTCATCTGCTCTTTAAGATTGTATGAAGTCTTTACAGGTGAACTTGGATTTAATTATTTCTCTTCTATATAGTCAATGCAATTGCATTGACTATATAGCTCTTTAGGAATATATCGCGATATGAAACGTTATTTTATATTTAAATTATTCAATACAATTTAAAATAATTAAAAATATTGCGATTTGAACACAACTTCAGTTGCTTAAATTGACACGTTGTTTAAATTAAATTCTTTTAATAATTAATAAAATTTCTAAAGCACTTCTACAAAACGAATTCACGAAATATTACAAGATTTTTTTTATATTTGCTATTTAATATAGAGTAAATCAAATATTTATAGATTTATTTATTTGTTGGATTTTGTAAATAAATTTATTGTAAAATAGTTACTCTGTCATCGTCGTCCCAGGATAACTTTTTGATTCTCGGCAAAGCTGAACTAGTAGGCCACGTTGGCATGAGAGAATCTGGAGGATCTCCGGAATAATTGGAAGAGTCGTGAGATCCAGCATCCAGATTGGTTCTAGCACTCAGATCATTCATATTCTGCACGAGTCCACCGATATTGGGAATGTTCGAAGTTGCTGATAAAGCTGGCGGATTTGGAGCGGGTGCCACTTTATGTCGGGTGTATAATGGTAATTGTTTCGCCGAGGCTATACCTAATAAAAACGAGATGAGAATATCTTAATGTCATAAATCTTTGACAATAGAATTGTAATTTTATGAAAAACTTTATAATTGCAAATTGTTTATAAAAAAGAAGAAAAATAATAAAAAAGAAATTACTGAAATTTTATTTCAGTAATTGTATCGAGAAATTGTAATGAGAAATTTTTGGCAATAAGTTAATAGATTCATAAAAAGAGAAGTTAAAGACTTGAAGTAAAGTATGTCGAGTTAAATTATGCCGATGAAGAATAGAAAGCATGTGCAGCACTACTTGACTTCTGCTGCCTATAGAAACGTACTTTTGATTGTAGTACTATAAGAGCTTTCATTGGTTTCTCCGAAGACGGGATTATCGATTTCGTTACGGCTGTCGACGTTATCATTCTCATCGTCAATATCGTAACGCCGATTCCGTGGGCCTTCCAAGCCGTCCTGAAGAACGTTAGCGCCTAGAACTTGCGGAGTGGGACTTAGAGCCGAGGGAACTGGTGATTTCTCACGATATCCAGTACCCACAGAGCTGACCGAACCACCACTTTTTGGCCTTTTGCTTAAAAAAAAAGAAACATTAAAAAGAAACATTGTCTCTCTTAATCTAAAATAATAATAAGAATTTCCAAATATCTTCAAGTTTCTAATATTTTTATTCTAAATTTCTTGATTAAAGAATGAAAAATATATAAAGAAAAAAAAATACAATATATTTACAACAGTATGTAATACATTTACATCAGTATTGTTATGTTGTACTGACGTACTACACTTTCAATATTATCGATTTTGATTAAAATGCATCCAACTTATCCAATCTTGATTCGAGTTTTAAATTGATAATCTGAACGTTTATATAACTATACATTGTATATATTCGACATATTTACTCACTTATAAATGTAAAGAATAAGAATAAGTATGACAACTCCAAGAAGACCCAAAACTGCGCCGAAGATTGCAACTAATAACACGCTGCTACCGAGCCAAGCGGGTGCGGCTCTCGCAGCGATCGGCAATGAACCGCTGTTAGGTATGTGAACAATCACTGGAATCATGCTGGATCTAAAAATCAAATTATAGATTAACGTTTGGAATGATCATTAGGAAACACGTAATTGCACACAAATTTATAAATACCTTGGCGGTTTTCCGGAATCAGTAGCTACCGCTATAAATCGTGCCAAAGATCCGTTAAATGAACCCAACGATCTCAGCACTAATTCTCCATTATCTCTAATTTCGAAGGCTCTAGAAAATAATTTATATAATTATTAAAAATGATTGTAATTCTTTTGCCAAGAGTATGTAATTTTAATTAAATTAAAAAAATGTTGTTTCTTTTGAAATTAAAATTGCAAATATGTCTTTTTATATGATATTTTCTATATTTTCTTATGTATTAGTATATAATTTTATTTCTAAATTATTAAACTTAACAATTTTATACCTTGCATCTTGTCCTCTGAGAGATAAGTTGACTTTATCTCCCCTGTCGCCGTCAGCTGCTTCTAATTTTCCTGAAAAATTACGTTCTTTGAATATCAAATAGAATAGAAATTGAATCAAGATTTAAATACATAAGAGGAACTTACCTACAACAGAACCTTCTCTTGCGGAATGAGCATGAAATTCGTACCGGGAGTATTGGAATCGAGGTTCCCATTCGTTCACGTCTTCGACCGAAACATTCACATGTGATGTATCATTCTAAAAAATATTTATATATTGTATATACAATGTATATATATATATGTTTAAAGACATATTATATTTTATATATTTAATATATAAAAAATTATATATTTAATATGTAAATCATGTATATATGTTATATACATGTGCAATAAAGGGCGCGTTCCATTTAACGTTCGCAATGTTTGCGAATATCATTTATCCTTATCGTTTTCAAATATTAAACAAGAATGAAATGATGCTCGCATTGTGAACGTTAAGTGAAAGATGCCCAAAGTAATTAAACTTTAATGAGATATACGTACATGATATCCATCTGTGACATGAATCAAGAAGCTGTGCTGAAACCGCCGCTCGTAATCTAAATTTCCTTTGAGAATTAACTCGCCAGAGTTAGTAATCGAGAATCTCTCTAAATCCTCCACTGGGCCCACGAGCCAGAATTTTAAATTCTAGAATCAGAAGCTATACTACGCTACTATATCATGATTTATCTGCATTCTTATTGTCGAAGTAAATTTTCACATTACTTACAGGATCAGCTTTGTTGACTCCTGCCGTTAGAAGAACACTTCCAGAAGGCGTATTCTCTGGTACACTCGTTTGCTGATTTTTCAGCACAAATTTCACGGGTAATCGACCGCCTAGCATCCATAAAATAAATAATTAATTTTATATAAAATTTGTTTCCAAATAGATAACAATTTGATTCGTCATCTTTTAAACATTATTTTGATATTTCATATTTGCATACAAACGTATGTACAATTAAATTTTGGTTCCAATGAAGAATATTATTAATAAGTTTTTACAATCATTAACAATTTGTGTTAATAGACAGATAATAATAATTGATAAGTAATGAATTTAAATTGTATACATATAATAAATGTCTAGCAAATGTTACAATTAATATCTAATTAATATATATATTA